TATATATATATATATATATTTATTTATATATCATTATTCTTATTAGAACCATTTGATGCTTCATGAATCCTCATTCCACACTGATTTCTGTTGTTTGCAAGTATTTGTGATAACAGTAATGTTGATGATGACTATGATGTTAAAAGGCACAATATTTTGGCTTTATTATGGCATGACAGTAACTACCTTTCAATTCACTAATACCAATGTGAACAATTATTTCATGTTATATCTTATTGGACTCTCTCATTTTGGTCTTGATTACAGCAACCAGAATGCAAATGCTTGAACTTCTTTCCTTAAAGAACTTGGACATATTTGCTTCTTTTATGGGCTGCTGGTTTTCAAAGCAACTTGAGCATACTCCTGGCTATGAAGAACCAGCTGTTCTTGCAGCTGAGACCGCATGTAAGCATTAATTTATTTTTTAATTTTTTTATGTGGTCTCTTCCCAACTTTCAAATTGGCATATTGCCCCCCCCCCAAAATTGACAAATTTTGATGGCCTTGTATGGAGAATAGGATTAATTGTAAGCATTCAAGTTTCTTTTTACTTTCATGAAAGCCAAATCATGAGTATTAACTATCTGTCACCTTCTGTGATTTTCATAATCATCCTTCAACTCTAAATTAGTAAATTTGGTATTAGTGAGTTAGTTTTTCTCGAACATTACATTTACTGGTAGTTTGAATTCCCTGCTGCATTATCTCATTTCAGCTTTAAAATTGGTAATTTTTTTCTGAGCTCAAATTATTTATTGGATCCTTAACTGCTTTGGGATTTTCAAAGACATTTTGACCTCTATTTCAAAATATTAAATTTCATCATGCTACCTTGATTATTTGGTTGCCTTGAATGTCTTTACAAGCTCACCAATGCACATGCAGTCACCGTCGGGGAGGTAGAGGCCCTGTATGAATTGTTCAAAAAAATTAGCTATTCAATAATCAAAGATGGCCTTATTCATAAGGTATTTTATTATGCTAGCAATTTGATTAATTTTATTTGCATCTGGGACAGTGATTATTTATTTTGCTACACAATTTTGATGCTTGCAGGAAGAGTTTCAACTTGCTCTCTTCAAGAACAGTAAGAAGCATAATCTTTTTGCTGATAGGGTATGGTGTTATTCTCCTTCTTTCCTTGTTTTTAAGTGATAACCAGTAAAGGAATTTGATTGTGCATTTTATTTAAGTTGAGTGTTTTAGTTCTTGTTATTTTGGGAAGGTAATTTTAATTCCTCATGTGCTATTTTATTTTACTTCACCCATAAAATTTCAGGAAGTTCTCTAATGCTTGATTCTTATTGTATTTGATAGGATGGCGATGCATTTGCTGATAACCTGCTTTAAGAGTTTTATCTAACAATAAACTTTAACCCTTTTGTTCTCCGGAGGAAGCTATTATTACTTGAAGATTTTAGATGATATAATTGAAAAGTCTTACAATTATTATTATAGATCTTGTGATGGTCTCCAATCTCATTAGAATTTATATTCTAGCACATATTTAAACCAATCTTGCACTGTTTATGAAAAGGAATGATTTTTATTAGCCCATGTGGATGCTAACTAATCTGATTGGTAAAGGTTCTGGAAGTTTTCGTCAAGATCCTGGCTTTGATCATTACACAATAATAAACTATCATCTTACAGAGTTTCGGGTGTGAAAAAAAAAGACATTTTACATTTAAGTTCACAATATTTTATACTCCAATAATCTCATTACAATCTCTTCGTTGTATGCCAAAGTCAAAATATGATGATTTGATTGGATCTGAATAAGGGGTGGTCTTAAAACCTGGTTGTACTAAAGACCAATGTTTTGTGGTCTTTGATTTAGCCAGACTAAGGCTCTGGCGCAGTTGTAGCTTCTCAGCTTTTGAGCTGCAGCTGCGCTGCCCCAAGAAGCTGCTGCGAGAAATCTGGCTGTCTGTTTGTTGTAGCTGTGTGAAAATAACTGTGGGGCAGCTGTTTCTGAAAAAATGACAATTCTACCCCTGTTTAGTAAAGTTGTTTAAAACAGAACCGTGTCAACCATGTATTTGATATTTCAAAAGTAGAAAATGTGTCCTAAAATAATTCCTTCTGAAACCATGAACATGTGCTTTTCCCAATTGAGAACAACATACCTCGTAATATTTATATCTATCTATTAGAGAAGCCCGTAGGCAATTTTATTAATCACAAGCAAAAGTACAAAAGATGGTGAATAGGTCCCACTGAACATGCGTTTTTCCCAATTGAGAACAACTTACCCCGTAATATTTATATCTATCTATTAGAGAAGCCCATAGGCAATTTTATTAATCACAAGCAAAAGTACAAAAGATAGGTGAATAGGTCCCACTGAAAAACACAAAAAATACATTACTCACCCATAGGGTCCCATTCACCTAGTATACAACTCACACAAAATATCACCCAAAAAGCTATGTATACCCAAAAATTCCTAAAGCTCAAATTCGACATAGTTCCTATGTAATTACATATCAAACACATAAATTTGCTTTTAACATTTATAACACTAAAAATTCTCATATTTCATCACTAATAAGAGTTTTCCACTAATAAGAGTTTTCCACTAAGCATTCATCGTCTTCCCCAAAGACTACTGCTATACCTCCAAGGAGTTTTCCACTAATCACGCATTTTCAATAAATTCCACAAAGACTCCAAGGAGGAATGCATTCTGAAAAATCAGACAATCAAATTAACTCTAAACGTTGATTGTAATAAGAGTTTTCCACTAAGCATTCATGCAAAACAAAATTATAAGTGAACAATAACAAGAGAAGCAGAAGAAGGCAGATATCAGAAAGTTTCTATGGAGGGACGAGAAGGGCAGTGAAGCAGAGTTACCTTATTCTGGAAGAAGGTGAGGTTTGATGCTTCAAGCGACGGTGGAAGAAGAAGCGCAGGGGGACAGGATGCTTCGCGAGGGGGCTTGACTCTACACAAAACGATCGGGAGAAATGGACGGGAAGGAAGCGAGATGAGACGCTATAAGGCTAGATTGGTCTTCTTCGTCTTCGCGAGACGCTAGGGCAAAGGCCGGCGTTGCGGGGAACAAGGGGCAATATTTGATCGGAACAGGGGCTGTGGGGTCGATCCCGCGGCCCAAATTTCCTTCAAATTCGCGACAGGTAGCATCCAACTCGAGATTCAAACGGCAAAAAAAAAAAATCGCGGTTTGTGGCCGCGCAGTTCAAAAAAGCGGCCCCAAACGGGCCCTAAGTATCGACGGCTTTTCAATATACATTATTTTGATGTTTTACAAAATATTATGCCTTTTTTCTATTATTTTAATCTTTTTCTTTTGTTTTTTAATAGAATGGTAACAATACCAATTCTCACCTGATGAGCAACCATAGAGATTGAATGTTTTAACAAACTTAGAATTGCTAAAAGACCACGATGACAATCATTTGATAGTAGTTTGTGAGCAACCTTAGACTGTAATGGATACTATAAAAGTTTTCAAAAGCATTTGATCATGAATGTTTCATAGTAAATTCTTCACTATATAAACTCATATAAACCTCACTTGTATTGCATCCAACAATTATAATCAAATAAAGAGGAGAGAAGAAGAGAGAAATGAATAGAGGAACTAAGTTCATGTAGTAGAGAAGATTGGGAAGCGTTATCAATAATTTTCTTCATATTTGACCCTCTATATTCACAAATAGTGGTTACCTTCCTTTTTAATCCATTAACACAAGCAAAGTGGTTTATTTGTCTTTATTTATATGAATTTTGATATCTTTGTGCAGCCGTAATGTTGGTGAATGTCAATGATCTATGCAAATTTGTCCTGTGCTGAGAGAATTTTTTCGTTTCTACTCTCTCAAGATCATTTAAATTTTTTTGCTGAAAAATTGGTTTTTATCCTAATAATTGGTGTCAAACTTTTAGTCTAAAAAACTTTCATGCTTGAACATGGAAATGGAAAGATCAAAACCTATATGTCTGATGAACTTCGAGTTCTGGAGGATGCATATGAAAGATTATCTTTACCAAAGAAAACTCTATCAACCGCTAAGAAGAGTAAAGTCACAATCAGTCGAACAAGAGGAGTGACAGTTAATAGATAGCCAAGCTTTAGGGATTATTCACCTCTCTCAGCTATGAAGTGGTTTTTGTGCTGTCTAAAATGTACTATCAACCATTTCCGAAGTTAAAAAAAAAAAAAGGTATTTAAATCTGCAAATTTTTATTGATTTGAATTTAGGAGACCTAGATTTAAAATGAATTACAAGTTGGTACATCTACACCTTAGGTGCACCATTATTAGTCTGTGCATTATTTCAGAAGCTAGTTGTACTATCAACGAGAGAATGTTGGGGGCATCGCAATCACTAAAGCTTGCAAAAAAATGATTTGACTAAAATATTTTTTAGAAGAATCAAATTTATCTCAAGAAGATGTCCCTCTACTATGGCACTCAAATTGCTATTTACTTAGCAAAAAATATTGTCTTTTACTTCCATACAAAGCACAACTCAGTCATCACTACATATGCAGCTTTCTTAAAACTTATATGTTACTGCTTGTCAAAATTATAGGAGTAACAAATCCTATTGTGATGTTCTCAAAAGTGATGCCTCCTAAAAAATTGAGGCTTGCAAAGCCTCAGTTAATCTTTCTGAATGATGACATGGAAGCATATAAAGAAATGTTAAGACATGATCACTAAAGTCGTACATTAAATATTGAGTCAAGGTAGAAGATTGTTAAGTGTAGAGTCAAAGTTTCTATTTATTGAAAATACTCATTCTCTTCAATGACATAAAAGTCCTAAAATGCCCATCACAAAGTTCTAAATTGAGATTATTGCAAAGTCGTAAATATAGATAATCATAAAATCATAAATATTGGCCACCACAATCTTAAATAAAAGATACTAAAAATCTATAATTGAGATTATAAAAATCACTAATAGTGGTTGATATTTAATGTTTTAAGGTGAATTCTTATTTATTTAAATCAATATAATCTTCACTTGTAATATATCTCACAATCGTAAGCAATAAAAGAGGAGAGAACAAAAAATGTGAAGAGAAGAAAGGAAGAAGTTCAAGAAAAAAATATTCAAAACCTATTGTACATTCATAACATAGACTTAAAAAGGGTATTATAATATTTTACAATAAACCCTAGACTTCTTCAATATTCCCTTTTTACCAATATGACCATAAATAAGGTCTTGTTCTCAACATATCCACTAAGCCAATCTTGTCACATAACCTAGACAAATCTAATAAATTAAGTCCTTTAGTGAGGCGGTCAACCACTTGCTTTCTAGTGGCTACATGACATAGCTCTGTTAGCCCGTTATTGAGCTTTTTCTTGATGAAAAATCTATCAATCTCCACATTTTTGATTCTATCGTGTTGCACCAGGTTATTGGCAATGGTTATTGCTGACTTGTTGTCACACCAAAACTTCATTTGAATTCCTTGGTCCACTTTGAGCTCGATCAACAAAGCTCTCAGACACATCATCTCGATAATTCCTAAGGCCATGGCCCTATAATATGCCTTTGTTGTTGACCTCGCTAATACAGACTGCCTCTTGCTCTTATAAGAGACCAAGTTGCCTCCTACGAACATGCAGTAACTTGAGATAAAATTTTTGTCATCTGCACATCTCGCCCAGTCAACGTCATAAAAGCCCTCAATGTTTACATACCCATTCTTCTTGAAGATCAACTCATTCCTTGGTATACTCTTCAGGAACCTCAGAATCTGATACATTGCATCTATATGACTCTTTCTTGCATCATGCATGTAGCGGCTCACCAAGCTTACTGCAAAAGAGATGTCGAGTCGAGTAGATCAGACGACTCATCAATCTCTGATATCTCTCATAATCAACCGGTTCTTCTACCTCTGCACTCAGTTTGGTTTTTTGTTCAATTGGAGAGACTGCAGGTTTGCACCCCAGCATGTATGTTTTTGTGAGGAGACCTAGTACATACTTTTTGCAGGACAAGACCATTCCCTCAGGTATACGGGCCACTTTAGTCCCAAGAAAGTATCTGAGTTGTCCAAGATCATTCACCTCAAATCCATTGCCCAATATTACCTTTAGTTATGCAATTTCTACATCATCAT